TAATACGATGCAGAGCTGTAAACGATTGAATAGGGATAACTTTTATTGCATTTAGGCCTATTGGACAAGTTAAATGTAACATGGTTTTGTCGAAAAATTATGTTTGTAGGCGCATGATCACCATAGGTAGGTATAATGATTTTATTAAGATTTAATTTCTGTTACTTTTAGTATTTATATTATTATTATAATTATTAGGGATATCAATAATTATTAAGAAAATTTATCACTTATCCTGATCGATAAGTTGATAGTTTTTGAAAATAAAACCGCCTACCTTCTCGTCAATATTTATAATTATTAAATTCGATAAACATATATTGAGGTACTCCGACATAAAAGTATTGACATTTGTGTTTGACTATTTATTTTATGTATTTCGTTGTAATCGATTTTGAAGACCCGAAAAACAACCCCGGTTGAATTGACAGATTTATTCGTGCACAGCATACTACTTAATAGGTATATATGTGTGTGTGGAGTATTGTATCATCTCTTATGGTGTATAAACATTACAGTAGTAGGTACGTGTATAATAATGTAGAATTCAAGTGTACAGTATGGGAAATTATCTAAGCGTTGTCAAACGGCGTCAACTGCATATCTCGTCTCTTTAATAAGTATACATAGGGGTCGATTTTTATTATGCAAACCCGGCTGAAATTTTTTATATTATGTAGTCATATTTGAGTTAATAATAAGCCTTAACTCGCAATAATATGTTACAAACTTTTTCCCTTATGTAATATGTTATTTAGAAAATGTATTTGAAATTACTTCAATTATCCATGTATTATTACATTTCATATTTTTAAGGCGGATTTATGATGTATATTATTTACTTTATATATAGTTAAAAATTGTAATGAAAAACATTAATAGTAGGCATTTTTAATTTATTGTTATTATATTAAATATTATTGGGAGATTCAAATATATCTGATATACAGTCTACTTTGAGTGAGTTTTTTTAGTTAAATCGTATAATGTCCCCTGGTAAGTATTGTTGTAGTTTTAATTATGTTCGGGTAATGTAAGTATCGCTTAGCGACAAAGTATATTATTAATGTACTAGATCATTGATATCATAATTTAAAGAACGATTATAAAGCTTAGTTCACGTTTAATTAATTACTTAGGTTATTGCAATTTCTCACGTAATTATTAATACATTATGTTGGAGTGTTGTTCTTACATTCGTACCTATTATTGCTCATAGGATTACCATGATTGGCCTTCGATAAATCGTAAAATTATTTGCTTAAGTTTGATAAAGAATGAAAAAAGTATTTGCTTAAACCATGCAGACAAATAGTTGAAGGGTCCAAAACGACGAACCAGAATTATAATAAAACTCTTATTATGTCCATAACAGTTATATATAATGTATTTGTATCATATGACGTGCTTTCGGCATAAATTTTTCCTAAACAGTTTAAATTAAATGATAAACTTTACGAAACGTAAGACAGGTGACGTTAAAGATATGGTTAAAGGCGCATGGTGTATGCAAAATTGATGCATTCATGTGAATTGTTGCTAGCATAACAAAATAATTATGTTAAAATATTAACTAGAATGTCTCGTGTGTTTATATATTTATCGCTCGTTAATATGTATTTGTGTTTAAAATTACATTATAACTGAAACGTACCAACTGACCCCTGTTCTTCAAAATTGATATAATTTTACGACAAGATATTAAATCTGTACACTAAAAGTACTTATCATGTTAAACTATTATATAATTATGTGTTAGTGAGCAAAACAGTTGTTAATTATTATAAGAAACGTATTAAAGGATACTGCTCAATTTAGTGTGTGTAATGCTTAAGTGAAAATAAAAGTTTAGCACACTAGATATGTTTAATTTGGTCTACTATTATTATTTTACAAAATTATCAGTTAACACGAATTTATACGTACGCTATATGTATTGTTCAACATATTTTATTGATATACTTTCCGTTGGAAATACTAGACAAATGTTTTATCATTAGTAAATATTTATATTAAAGGTTTAGTTACATCGGTAATTGTCTCTTTTTGTACACATATACAAATTAAAATCAGTATAGTTCTTAGTATATATTAAGACATGTCTGGGTATTCAATGTTTTTTTTTGTACAGTACTTATATCTAAATTTATTCAGAAACAACACATGTGAAACATAATATGAGTAAACCTATTTATAACAATTGTCTATTTATAAAGAATGAGTTTATATTGCTTATAAAAAGCTTATCATGATTAACACAAATTTTGTTTTTAGTATAAATTGAATCAAAATTGTTTGAAATTATCGGTTTATACTAAGAAAAAAATTGAAATTATTGGTTTATACTAAGAAAAAAATTGAAATTACAAAGTAAAAATTTGACCACAGAATTTAGAAAAATTATAATATAGAGTTAAGCAATAGTTTTTGTTTTGTTTTTCTTAACCGAATTTACACGATACGGTTTTTTAAAATGAGAAGTAGCTTATGTAAAATTAAATACAATGTGGCGTAGGTGTTTTTATGTTGGTAACGGAATCATAAAAAAATAAATCAAGTAATAATTGAATAATCAGGTCTCATTATCGGTATACAACTCCAAATTGGTTCAATCCACATGTTGCAATAAACAAGTGCTCGATATGCTTCGAAGTAAATATTTATTTAGCTTTCTTGATTTGAGTGACTATCGTTCGCATCTGCTATTAGAGATTTGCCTTGGGCTTAATTTTAAAAACGTCAACAATCTTATCATTATACCAGTAATAATGTACGTAAAATGCATTCACTATAATATTGTGTTCGCATGTATAGCGATAGTTATGATTACTAAAAAATTTATTTTCTCGTTTAAATTATATTAGTTTGCAAAACTAAACAGAATATTTTATTACTTAAGGTAGTTATCTTATTATTGCGATATAAAACATATTAAAAGGTGTTAAAATACTAAAAATAATATTTATACTAAAAAGTTTTTAAGTTGGTTGGGATACTTATGCTTATATTTAAGACTATAACTATATAGTCTTATATAATAGACTCGTCTAGTTTATAATAAATAAAATAGTATAGTGACGTTACTTGTTGCTGGCTATTCTATATTATTTTTCTGTTATTTAAAAGAATACAATTTAATGACAATATATTTTCGTTCAGGTATATTCTTGACTCGTCTGGATTCTAATTATTAAAATAATGTAGTTTTTATGAATGTTGCTCAACAATTTTTTTTTTATTCAAATTATTCTTGAAAAGTTTATCACTAAAGACATGTTAAAGAACGTTAGGGATAGGTTTCCATGTGATTCTGAAGATTCACTGATGGATAGCGTGCTATCCCTCACGATCTTCAAATATTTATCAAAAAATTAATATTAACTACTATTATGGTTCATAAGAAAACCGAAAAAGACTTCTGGCCTTTCTACGTTTTTACATTTTTCTGTTACTGAATTGAATAGCATATTAGGTCTATATATTTTTATTTAGGTATATTCTTGACTCGTATGGATTCTAATTATTAAAATAATATAGTTTTTATAAATGTTGCTCAACAATTTTGTTTTTATTCAAATTATTCTTGAAAAATTTTATCACTAAAGACATGTTAAAGAACGTTAAGGATAGGTTTCCATGTGATTCTGAAGATTCACTGATGGATAGCGTGCTATCCTTCACGATCTTCAAATATTTAAAAAAGAAATATTATTATCTACTATTATGGTTCATAAGAAAACCGAAAAAGACCTCTGGCCTTTCTACGTTTTTTCATTTTTCTGTTACTGAATTGAATAGCATATTTAGTCTATATATTTTGTTTAGGTATATTCTTGACTCGTATGGATTCTAATTATTAAAATAATATAGTTTTTATAAATGTTGCTCAACAATTTTTTTTTATTCAAATTATTCTTGAAAAGTTTATCACTAATGACATGTTAAAGAACGTTAGGGATAGGTTTCCATGTGATTCTGAAGATTCACTGATGGATAGCGTGCTATCCTTCACGATCTTCAAATATTTATCAAAAAATTAATATTAACTACTATTATGGTTCATAAGAAAACCGAAAAAGACTTCTGGCCTTTCTACGTTTTTACATTTTTCTGTTACTGAATTGAATAGCATATTAGGTCTATATATTTTTGTTTAGGTATATTCTTGACTCGTATGGATTCTAATTATTAAAATAATATAGTTTTTATGAATGTTGCTCAACAATTTTGTTTTTATTCAAATTATTCTTGAAAAGTTTATCACTAATGACATGTTAAAGAACGTTAAGGATAGGTTTCCATGTGATTCTGAAGATTCACTGATGGATAGCGTGCTATCCTTCACGATCTTCAAATATTTAAAAAAAAATAATATTATCTACTATTATGGTTCATAAGAAAACCGAAAAAGACTTCTGGCCTTTCTACGTTTTTACATTTTCTGTTACTGAATTGAATAGCATATTTAGTCTATATATTTTTGTTTAGGTATATTCTTGACTCGTATGGATTCTAATTATTAAAATAATATAGTTTTTATAAATGTTGCTCAACAATTTTGTTTTTATTCAAATTATTCTTGAAAAGTTTATCACTAAAGACATGTTAAAGAACGTTAGGGATAGGTTTCCATGTGATTCTGAAGATTCACTGATGGATAGCGTGCTATCCTTCACGATCTTCAAATATTTATCAAAAAATTAATATTAACTACTATTATGGTTCATAAGAAAACCGAAAAAGACTTCTGGCCTTTCTACGTTTTTACATTTTTCTGTTACTGAATTGAATAGCATATTAGGTCTATATATTTTTGTTTAGGTATATTCTTGACTCGTATGGATTCTAATTATTAAAATAATATAGTTTTTATAAATGTTGCTCAACAATTTTTTTTTTATTCAAATTATTCTTGAAAAATTTATCACTGAAGACATGTTAAAGAACGTTAAGGATAGGTTTCCATGTGATTCTGAAGATTCACTGATGGATAGCGTGCTATCCTTCACGATCTTCAAATATTTAAAAAAGAAATATTATTATCTACTATTATGGTTTATAAGAAAACCGAAAAAGACTTCTGGCCTTTCTACGTTTTTCTGTTACTGAATTGAATAGCATATTAGGTCTATATATTTTTGTTTAGGTATATTCTTGACTCGTCTGGATTCTTATTATTAAAATAATGTAGTTTTTATGAATGTTGCTCAACAATTTTGTTTTTATTCAAATTATTCTTGAAAAGTTTATCACTAATGACATGTTAAAGAACGTTAGGGATAGGTTTCCATGCGATTCTGAAGATTCACTGAGGGATAGCGTGCTATCCTTCACGATCTTCAAATATTTATCAAAAAATTAATATTATCTACTATTATGGTTCATAAGAAAACCGAAAAAGACTTCTGGCCTTTCTACGTTTTTACATTTTTCTGTTACTGAATTGAATAGCATATTAGGTCTACATATTTTTGTTTAGGTATATTCTTGACTCGTATGGATTCTTATTATTAAAATAATGTAGTTTTTATAAATGTTGCTCAACAATTTTTTTTTTATTCAAATTATTCTTGAAAAAATTTATCACTAAAGACATGTTAAAGAACGTTAGGGATAGGTTTCCATGTGATTCTGAAGATTCACTGATGGATAGCGTGCTATCCTTCACGATCTTCAAATATTTAAAAAAGAAATAATATTATCTACTATTATGGTTCATAAGAAAACCGAAAAAGACTTCTGGCCTTTCTACGTTTTTACATTCTGTTACTGAATTGAATAGCATATTAGGTCTATATATTTTTGTTTAGGTATATTCTTGACTCGTCTGGATTCTTATTATTAAAATAATGTAGTTTTTATAAATGTTGCTCAACAATTTTGTTTTTATTCAAATTATTCTTGAAAAATTTATCACTAAAGACATGTTAAAGAACGTTAAGGATAGGTTTCCATGTGATTCTGAAGATTCACTGATGGATAGCGTGCTATCCTTCACGATCTTCAAATATTTATCAAAAAATTAATATTATCTACTATTATGGTTCATAAGAAAACCGAAAAAGACTTCTGGCCTTTCTACGTTTTTACATTTTTCTGTTACTGAATTGAATAGCATATTAGGTCTATATATTTTTGTTTAGGTATATTCTTGACTCGTATGGATTCTAATTATTAAAATAATATAGTTTTTATAAATGTTGCTCAACAATTTTTTTTTTATTCAAATTATTCTTGAAAAAGTTTATCACTAAGACATGTTAAAGAACGTTAGGGATAGGTTTCCATGTGATTCTGAAGATTCACTGATGGATAGCGTGCTATCCTTCACGATCTTCAAATATTTATCAAAAAATTAATATTATCTACTATTATGGTTTATAAGAAAACCGAAAAAGACTTCTGGCCTTTCTACGTTTTTCTGTTACTGAATTGAATAGCATATTAGGTCTATATATTTTTGTTTAGGTATATTCTTGACTCGTCTGGATTCTTATTATTAAAATAATGTAGTTTTTATGAATGTTGCTCAACAATTTTGTTTTTATTCAAATTATTCTTGAAAAGTTTATCACTAATGACATGTTAAAGAACGTTAGGGATAGGTTTCCATGCGATTCTGAAGATTCACTGATGGATAGCGTGCTATCCTTCACGATCTTCAAATATTTATCAAAAAATTAATATTATCTACTATTATGGTTCATAAGAAAACCGAAAAAGACTTCTGGCCTTTCTACGTTTTTACATTTTTCTGTTACTGAATTGAATAGCATATTAGGTCTACATATTTTTGTTTAGGTATATTCTTGACTCGTCTGGATTCTTATTATTAAAATAATGTAGTTTTTATGAATGTTGCTCAACAATTTTGTTTTTATTCAAATTATTCTTGAAAAGTTTATCACTAATGACTTGTTAAAGAACGTTAGGGATAGGTTTCCATGTGATTCTGAAGATTCACTGATGGATAGCGTGCTATCCTTCACGATCTTCAAATATTTAAAAAAGAAATATTATTATCTACTATTATGGTTTATAAGAAAACCGAAAAAGACTTCTGGCCTTTCTACGTTTTTCTGTTACTGAATTGAATAGCATATTAGGTCTATATATTTTTGTTTAGGTATATTCTTGACTCGTATGGATTCTTATTATTAAAATAATGTAGTTTTTATAAATGTTGCTCAACAATTTTTTTTTTATTCAAATTATTCTTGAAAAGTTTATCACTAAAGACATGTTAAAGAACGTTAGGGATAGGTTTCCATGTGATTCTGAAGATTCACTGATGGATAGCGTGCTATCCTTCACGATCTTCAAATATTTATCAAAAAAATAATATTATCTACTATTATGGTTCATAAGAAAACCGAAAAAGACTTCTGGCCTTTCTACGTTTTTACATTTTTCTGTTACTGAATTGAATAGCATATTAGGTCTATATATTTTTGTTTAGGTATATTCTTGACTCGTCTGGATTCTTATTATTAAAATAATGTAGTTTTTATGAATGTTGCTCAACAATTTTGTTTTTATTCAAATTATTCTTGAAAAAGTGTTATCACTAAAGACATGTTAAAGAACGTTAGGGATAGGTTTCCATGTGATTCTGAAGATTCACTGATGGATAGCGTGCTATCCTTCACGATCTTCAAATATTTAAAAAATAAATAATATTATCTACTATTAAGGGTCATAAGAAAACCGAAAAAGACCTCTGGCCTTTCTACGTTTTTACATTTTTCTGTTACTGAATTGAATAGCATATTAGGTCTATATATTTTTGTTTAGGTATATTCTTGACTCGTCTGGGTTCTTATTATTAAAATAATGTAGTTTTTATGAATGTTGCTCAACAATTTTGTTTTTATTCAAATTATTCTTGAAAAGTTTATCACTAATGACATGTTAAAGAACGTTAGGGATAGGTTTCCATGTGATTCTGAAGATTCACTGATGGATAGCGTGCTATCCTTCACGATCTTCAAATATTTAAAAAAAAATATTATTATCTACTATTATGGTTTATAAGAAAACCGAAAAAGACTTCTGGCCTTTCTACGTTTTTCTGTTACTGAATTGAATAGCATATTAGGTCTATATATTTTTGTTTAGGTATATTCTTGACTCGTCTGGATTCTTATTATTAAAATAATGTAGTTTTTATGAATGTTGCTCAACAATTTTGTTTTTATTCAAATTATTCTTGAAAAGTTTATCACTAATGACATGTTAAAGAACGTTAGGGATAGGTTTCCATGTGATTCTGAAGATTCACTGATGGATAGCGTGCTATCCTTCACGATCTTCAAATATTTAAAAAAGAAATATTATTATCTACTATTATGGTTCATAAGAAAACCGAAAAAGACTTCTGGCCTTTCTACGTTTTTACATTTTTCTGTTACTGAATTGAATAGCATATTAGGTCTATATATTTTTGTTTAGGTATATTCTTGACTCGTCTGGATTCTTATTATTAAAATAATGTAGTTTTTATGAATGTTGCTCAACAATTTTGTTTTTATTCAAATTATTCTTGAAAAGTTTATCACTAATGACATGTTAAAGAACGTTAGGGATAGGTTTCCATGTGATTCTGAAGATTCACTGATGGATAGCGTGCTATCCTTCACGATCTTCAAATATTTATCAAAAAATTAATATTATCTACTATTATGGTTCATAAGAAAACCGAAAAAGACTTCTGGCCTTTCTACGTTTTTACATTTTTCTGTTACTGAATTGAATAGCATATTAGGTCTATATATTTTTGTTTAGGTATATTCTTGACTCGTCTGGATTCTTATTATTAAAATAATGTAGTTTTTATGAATGTTGCTCAACAATTTTGTTTTTATTCAAATTATTCTTGAAAAGTTTATCACTAATGACATGTTAAAGAACGTTAGGGATAGGTTTCCATGTGATTCTGAAGATTCACTGATGGATAGCGTGCTATCCTTCACGATCTTCAAATATTTAAAAAATAAATAATATTATCTACTATTAAGGGTCATAAGAAAACCGAAAAAGACCTCTGGCCTTTCTACGTTTTTACATTTTTCTGTTACTGAATTGAATAGCATATTAGGTCTATATATTTTTGTTTAGGTATATTCTTGACTCGTCTGGATTCTTATTATTAAAATAATGTAGTTTTTATGAATGTTGCTCAACAATTTTGTTTTTATTCAAATTATTCTTGAAAAGTTTATCACTAATGACATGTTAAAGAACGTTAGGGATAGGTTTCCATGTGATTCTGAAGATTCACTGATGGATAGCGTGCTATCCTTCACGATCTTCAAATATTTAAAAAAGAAATATTATTATCTACTATTATGGTTTATAAGAAAACCGAAAAAGACTTCTGGCCTTTCTACGTTTTTCTGTTACTGAATTGAATAGCATATTAGGTCTATATATTTTTGTTTAGGTATATTCTTGACTCGTCTGGATTCTTATTATTAAAATAATGTAGTTTTTATGAATGTTGCTCAACAATTTTGTTTTTATTCAAATTATTCTTGAAAAGTTTATCACTAATGACATGTTAAAGAACGTTAGGGATAGGTTTCCATGTGATTCTGAAGATTCACTGATGGATAGCGTGCTATCCTTCACGATCTTCAAATATTTAAAAAAGAAATAATATTATCTACTATTATGGTTCATAAGAAAACCGAAAAAGACTTCTGGCCTTTCTACGTTTTTACATTTTTCTGTTACTGAATTGAATAGCATATTAGGTCTATATATTTTTGTTTAGGTATATTCTTGACTCGTCTGGATTCTTATTATTAAAATAATGTAGTTTTTATGAATGTTGCTCAACAATTTTGTTTTTATTCAAATTATTCTTGAAAAGTTTATCACTAATGACATGTTAAAGAACGTTAGGGATAGGTTTCCATGTGATTCTGAAGATTCACTGATGGATAGCGTGCTATCCTTCACGATCTTCAAATATTTATCAAAAAATTAATATTATCTACTATTATGGTTCATAAGAAAACCGAAAAAGACCTCTGGCCTTTCTACGTTTTTACATTTTTCTGTTACTGAATTGAATAGCATATTAGGTCTATATATTTTTGTTTAGGTATATTCTTGACTCGTATGGATTCTAATTATTAAAATAATATAGTTTTTATAAATGTTGCTCAACAATTTTGTTTTTATTCAAATTATTCTTGAAAAGTTTATCACTAAAGACATGTTAAAGAACGTTAGGGATAGGTTTCCATGTGATTCTGAAGATTCACTGATGGATAGCGTGCTATCCTTCACGATCTTCAAATATTTAAAAAATAAATAATATTATCTACTATTAAGGGTCATAAGAAAACCGAAAAAGACCTCTGGCCTTTCTACGTTTTTACATTTTTCTGTTACTGAATTGAATAGCATATTAGGTCTATATATTTTTGTTTAGGTATATTCTTGACTCGTCTGGATTCTTATTATTAAAATAATGTAGTTTTTATGAATGTTGCTCAACAATTTTGTTTTTATTCAAATTATTCTTGAAAAGTTTATCACTAAAGACATGTTAAAGAACGTTAGGGATAGGTTTCCATGCGATTCTGAAGATTCACTGATGGATAGCGTGCTATCCTTCACGATCTTCAAATATTTATCAAAAAATTAATATTATCTACTATTATGGTTCATAAGAAAACCGAAAAAGACTTCTGGCCTTTCTACGTTTTTACATTTTTCTGTTACTGAATTGAATAGCATATTAGGTCTATATATTTTTGTTTAGGTATATTCTTGACTCGTCTGGATTCTTATTATTAAAATAATGTAGTTTTTATGAATGTTGCTCAACAATTTTGTTTTTATTCAAATTATTCTTGAAAAGTTTATCACTAATGACATGTTAAAGAACGTTAGGGATAGGTTTCCATGTGATTCTGAAGATTCACTGATGGATAGCGTGCTATCCTTCACGATCTTCAAATATTTATCAAAAAATTAATATTATCTACTATTAAGGGTCATAAGAAAACCGAAAAAGACTTCTGGCCTTTCTACGTTTTACATTTTCTGTTACTGAATTGAATAGCATATTAGGTCTATATATTTTTGTTTAGGTATATTCTTGACTCGTCTGGATTCTTATTATTAAAATAATGTAGTTTTTATGAATGTTGCTCAACAATTTTGTTTTTATTCAAATTATTCTTGAAAAGTTTATCACTAATGACATGTTAAAGAACGTTAGGGATAGGTTTCCATGTGATTCTGAAGATTCACTGATGGATAGCGTGCTATCCTTCACGATCTTCAAATATTTATCAAAAAATTAATATTATCTACTATTATGGTTCATAAGAAAACCGAAAAAGACTTCTGGCCTTTCTACGTTTTTACATTTTTCTGTTACTGAATTGAATAGCATATTAGGTCTATATATTTTTGTTTAGGTATATTCTTGACTCGTCTGGATTCTTATTATTAAAATAATGTAGTTTTTATGAATGTTGCTCAACAATTTTGTTTTTATTCAAATTATTCTTGAAAAGTTTATCACTAATGACATGTTAAAGAACGTTAGGGATAGGTTTCCATGTGATTCTGAAGATTCACTGATGGATAGCGTGCTATCCTTCACGATCTTCAAATATTTAAAAAAAAAAAATATTATCTACTATTAAGGGTCATAAGAAAACCGAAAAAGACCTCTGGCCTTTCTACGTTTTTACATTTTTCTGTTACTGAATTGAATAGCATATTAGGTCTATATATTTTTGTTTAGGTATATTCTTGACTCGTCTGGATTCTTATTATTAAAATAATGTAGTTTTTATGAATGTTGCTCAACAATTTTGTTTTTATTCAAATTATTCTTGAAAAGTTTATCACTAATGACATGTTAAAGAACGTTAGGGATAGGTTTCCATGTGATTCTGAAGATTCACTGATGGATAGCGTGCTATCCTTCACGATCTTCAAATATTTATCAAAAAAATAATATTATCTACTATTATGGTTCATAAGAAAACCGAAAAAGACTTCTGGCCTTTCTACGTTTTTCTGTTACTGAATTGAATAGCATATTAGGTCTATATATTTTTGTTTAGGTATATTCTTGACTCGTCTGGATTCTTATTATTAAAATAATGTAGTTTTTATGAATGTTGCTCAACAATTTTGTTTTTATTCAAATTATTCTTGAAAAGTTTATCACTAATGACATGTTAAAGAACGTTAGGGATAGGTTTCCATGCGATTCTGAAGATTCACTGAGGGATAGCGTGCTATCCTTCACGATCTTCAAATATTTATCAAAAAATTAATATTATCTACTATTATGGTTCATAAGAAAACCGAAAAAGACCTCTGGCCTTTCTACGTTTTTACATTTTTCTGTTACTGAATTGAATAGCATATTAGGTCTATATATTTTTGTTTAGGTATATTCTTGACTCGTCTGGATTCTTATTATTAAAATAATGTAGTTTTTATAAATGTTGCTCAACAATTTTTTTTTATTCAAATTATTCTTGAAAAGTTTATCACTAAAGACATGTTAAAGAACGTTAGGGATAGGTTTCCATGTGATTCTGAAGATTCACTGATGGATAGCGTGCTATCCTTCACGATCTTCAAATATTTATCAAAAAAATAATATTATCTACTATTATGGTTCATAAGAAAACCGAAAAAGACTTCTGGCCTTTCTACGTTTTTACATTTTTCTGTTACTGAATTGAATAGCATATTAGGTCTATATATTTTTGTTTAGGTATATTCTTGACTCGTCTGGGTTCTTATTATTAAAATAATGTAGTTTTTATGAATGTTGCTCAACAATTTTGTTTTTATTCAAATTATTCTTGAAAAGTTTATCACTAATGACATGTTAAAGAACGTTAGGGATAGGTTTCCATGTGATTCTGAAGATTCACTGATGGATAGCGTGCTATCCTTCACGATCTTCAAATATTTAAAAAAAAATAATATTATCTACTATTATGGTTCATAAGAAAACCGAAAAAGACTTCTGGCCTTTCTACGTTTTTACATTTTCTGTTACTGAATTGAATAGCATATTAGGTCTATATATTTTTGTTTAGGTATATTCTTGACTCGTCTGGATTCTTATTATTAAAATAATGTAGTTTTTATAAATGTTGCTCAACAATTTTGTTTTTATTCAAATTATTCTTGAAAAGTTTATCACTAATGACATGTTAAAGAACGTTAGGGATAGGTTTCCATGCGATTCTGAAGATTCACTGAGGGATAGCGTGCTATCCTTCACGATCTTCAAATATTTATCAAAAAATTAATATTATCTACTATTATGGTTCATAAGAAAACCGAAAAAGACCTCTGGCCTTTCTACGTTTTTACATTTTTCTGTTACTGAATTGAATAGCATATTAGGTCTATATATTTTTGTTTAGGTATATTCTTGACTCGTATGGATTCTAATTATTAAAATAATGTAGTTTTTATGAATGTTGCTCAACAATTTTGTTTTTATTCAAATTATTCTTGAAAAGTTTATCACTAATGACTTGTTAAAGAACGTTAGGGATAGGTTTCCATGCGATTCTGAAGATTCACTGAGGGATAGCGTGCTATCCTTCACGATCTTCAAATATTTATCAAAAAATTAATATTATCTACTATTATGGTTCATAAGAAAACCGAAAAAGACTTCTGGCCTTTCTACGTTTTTACATTTTTCTGTTACTGAATTGAATAGCATATTAGGTCTATATATTTTTGTTTAGGTATATTCTTGACTCGTCTGGGTTCTTATTATTAAAATAATGTAGTTTTTATGAATGTTGCTCAACAATTTTGTTTTTATTCAAATTATTCTTGAAAAGTTTATCACTAATGACATGTTAAAGAACGTTAGGGATAGGTTTCCATGTGATTCTGAAGATTCACTGATGGATAGCGTGCTATCCTTCACGATCTTCAAATATTTATCAAAAAATTAATATTATCTATTATTAAGGGTCATAAGAAAACCGAAAAAGACTTCTGGCCTTTCTACGTTTTTCTGTTACTGAATTGAATAGCATATTAGGTCTATATATTTTTGTTTAGGTATATTCTTGACTCGTCTGGGTTCTTATTATTAAAATAATGTAGTTTTTATGAATGTTGCTCAACAATTTTGTTTTTATTCAAATTATTCTTGAAAAGTTTATCACTAATGACATGTTAAAGAACGTTAGGGATAGGTTTCCATGTGATTCTGAAGATTCACTGATGGATAGCGTGCTATCCTTCACGATCTTCAAATATTTATCAAAAAATTAATATTATCTACTATTATGGTTCATAAGAAAACCGAAAAAGACTTCTGGCCTTTCTACGTTTTTACATTTTTCTGTTACTGAATTGAATAGCATATTAGGTCTATATATTTTTGTTTAGGTATATTCTTGACTCGTCTGGATTCTTATTATTAAAATAATGTAGTTTTTATGAATGTTGCTCAACAATTTTGTTTTTATTCAAATTATTCTTGAAAAGTTTATCACTAATGACATGTTAAAGAACGTTAGGGATAGGTTTCCATGTGATTCTGAAGATTCACTGATGGATAGCGTGCTATCCTTCACGATCTTCAAATATTTAAAAAAAAAAAATATTATCTACTATTAAGGGTCATAAGAAAACCGAAAAAGACCTCTGGCCTTTCTACGTTTTTACATTTTGCTGTTACTGAATTGAATAGCATATTAGGTCTATATATTTTTGTTTAGGTATATTCTTGACTCGTCTGGGTTCTTATTATTAAAATAATGTAGTTTTTATGAATGTTGCTCAACAATTTTGTTTTTATTCAAATTATTCTTGAAAAGTTTATCACTAATGACATGTTAAAGAACGTTAGGGATAGGTTTCCATGTGATTCTGAAGATTCACTGATGGATAGCGTGCTATCCTTCACGATCTTCAAATATTTATCAAAAAATTAATATTATCTACTATTATGGTTCATAAGAAAACCGAAAAAGACCTCTGGCCTTTCGACGTTTTTACATTTTTCTGTTACTGAATTGAATAGCATATTAGGTCTATATATTTTTGTTTAGGTATATTCTTGACTCGTATGGATTCTAATTATTAAAATAATGTAGTTTTTATGAATGTTGCTCAACAATTTTGTTTTTATTCAAATTATTCTTGAAAAGTTTATCACTAATGACATGTTAAAGAACGTTAGGGATAGGTTTCCATGTGATTCTGAAGATTCACTGATGGATAGCGTGCTATCCTTCACGATCTTCAAATATTTAAAAAAGAAATATTATTATCTACTATTATGGTTTATAAGAAAACCGAAAAAGACTTCTGGCCTTTCTACGTTTTTCTGTTACTGAATTGAATAGCATATTAGGTCTATATATTTTTGTTTAGGTATATTCTTGACTCGTCTGGATTCTTATTATTAAAATAATGTAGTTTTTATAAATGTTGCTCAACAATTTTGTTTTTATTCAAATTATTCTTGAAAAGTTTATCACTAATGACATGTTAAAGAACGTTAGGGATAGGTTTCCATGCGATTCTGAAGATTCACTGAGGGATAGCGTGCTATCCTTCACGATCTTATATTA